TGAGCGAGAGAGAGAAGTGTAGAGTCAAACGAGAGACTGTAGAGGATGTCAACATGAACATTTTGTTCTCTGAGAGTTCTGTCTTTCTTCTTCTGTGATACATACTTCAGATTTCTGCTTATTAAATACAAAGCTCTTTTGTGGAAGCAGTTATTTTCTAATTAACATGCACTTTTTGCGGCGGTGCATGAATGTATCATTTGCTGCGTTGTGTGTTTTATCGTTTAAATTCTCTAAATAGTGCGTCCATGATGTGCTGCTTTGTGTGAGTGATTGTGTGTGTTCAGCAGAGATGAGATGAACGACACAGCTCAGCCTGTCTTGTAATAAAAGTAAGAGTGGCACTTTCACGCTTGTCAACAATCTCTAAATATATCCATGGGCCAGGAAGAGTGTTCTCACACAAACACACACACACACACACACACACACACACACACACACACACACACACACACACACACACACACACACACACACACAGACAACAAACACACACACTCAGACAGGCCTGCGGTTTTGACTGCTTTTCTCCCCGTCTCCATTAGAGAGAGAGAGAGGGGGGGGGAACGACTTCAGCTGCTTTGCTTCCCGACAGTCTCAGCAGTCACACACACACACACACACACTTGCACTGACGTGTGTGTGTACACACAGCAGTCACAGCCGACAAGACATTTTTATAACAAAAATTGGATTCCTCTGCGTCCGTTCCTCTCTGAAACTCAGCAGACACAGTGGAAAACTCGATGTGACAACTTTCAGTGCCCGTGTTGGAGCAGCAGAAGCGTCGGTTACACACTCAAAGCAGCCGAGTGAGAAAAATATTTATTCCGAGCAGTCAACAAAAAGGACGGCTTCGATGAGACGGGGCGCTCGTTGTCAGCAGTGTACTTATTTGAATCCCATTTTAGCCTTCACTTTTTTTTTTGATCCTGACACACACACAAATGCTCAATGTCTCCCTCGTCCAGTTCTGGATCAAAGAAAAGATCCACTGTAACACCCAGAGAAACAGTGATGTGTAAAAAACACATTCCTCTAGTTTACAGGTGCCTTGTTTGGTAACAATCATTCTTAACAATGAAGGCTTAAAATGATATTTTATCCCCATAAAGCCATCATCGAGATGTCTTTAACTCCTGAAATGTTCTTTCTGATTTCTCCAAGAAGCAAATAACATTCAATCATTATTCTAAAAGAACAATAATGATGTTTATGACCACATATGATGATTATTTTCCATAGAATCTCTGACTTCTGCAGCCTCCCCCCTCCTCTCAGCAGCTCACGTTCCCTGAGTGAAATCCCCCCTCAGAATGATGTTAAGGCACATTGTTGTTGACACCGCAATTTCGCCGGCCGGTATGACGTTGTCACTTAAAGTGCAGATTTGACGTGAAAAGCCCTCCTCGCTGTTTGTGTTTAATATCGTGCCGACGGCTGTATCATTCTTGCACACTGTAATCAAATTATGACAGCGTGGTAAATGTTCCCCTGTGACATTTTCTATTATAAAATGCATATAGCCGGTGTCAGACAATGTGTGGGTGGGATCCCTCGGTGGCAAATGGATTGTAAGTGGCACCGAGTGACATTATGCGTGTGTGCGTTAACATGTAATTGCACTTGTATATATTGATGATATGCATAGGTGGATGTCATCTGGAGTTATGATTGTTATCGTAAAGAGAAGGTGGAAAACACAACTGAATTTTATCAGATCCATGGCACTGCTGTAAGTGCGATATCCGAGTAAAGATAGCAGTTATTATTAAGTATAATCTTAAAGTAACACTTTCATTTGTGAATGCAGCCGCACAAAAGTTTAATGCAGAGAGTCAGCTGAAGTGCTGGGTATCAGTTTCTCGAGGCCTCAACGCATACAGATATATGCGTAGTGTAATGTGTGTAAGTGTGTCTGTGTGTTCGCACGTGGGCCTGAAGACCAGCAGGCCAGAAGGCAGCCAGCTTGTGTCAATCACCAGGGGAGATGAAATTTGTACCCCTCACTCTGATATCACACCCTCTCTCTCCTCTCCTCTCCTCTCCTCTCCTCTCCTCTCCTCTCCTCTCCTCTCCTCTCCTCTCCTCACTCAAGGTATTCTCTTCTCTCCGTTCCTTGTGTCATTGCTTCTCTCTTTCCCCCTCTCCTCCTTTTTTATCTCCTCTCCTGCATTCTCTCCTTACCCTTGTGTCCTCTCCTCCTCTCTTTTTACACCTCTTGTTTAATTGACTCTCCTCATTTTTTTCCTTTTCTCTTCCTCCCTCAACTCCTCTCTCTCCTTGTTTCCTCTCCTTTTTCTCTTGCAATTACTGTCCTCCTGTTTCCACTTGTTTCATCACCTCTCCTCTCATGGCTCCTCCCCTTCTTCTCTCTCCGTCACCTTTGTTTTCTTCTGCTCTCCTGTCCCCTTCCTCTCCCCTTCCCTCTTTTCCTCCTGCGGCCTGTAAGGAAACATCCAGTGTCCTTATTGGATTGGCTGCTTCAAGTTGGCGGCCTCTTCACTCGCCGTCCCTCGGCCTGCTGGGTAATGATAATAAAATTGAAATATCCCGGTACTTATCAGTGTATTACCTCGCTATCAACACCTCAGACACACTCCAACTTTAGAGGTTACACCGGGAGAAAGCGTGATCTGATCTACAGCGCGAACAGAGAGGTGTCGCCAGCAGAGAAAGTGAGAGAGATGAACAGAGGGAGGAGGAGAGGGAGGAGGAAACTGATAGACAGAAAGAGGGATGGAGAGAAAGAAAGACAAGAGTTTTGTCATGGCTACATTTTCAAGGTGCTATTTGCAGGATGGATTGCGGTAGGTAGGGAGGAGAGGGTGAGAAGAGGAGGAGAAGGAAGAGAGGCATGTAACGTGACTCTGTGGCATCTGTCCAGACCAGAGGCGTGTTAGCGTAAGCCGTCTTCAACACTCCACACTCGTCTACTGTACATTTGCGGTAATGTAAAACATCTCACATCTCCCCATCGCTCTCTGTCTCAGGGCCCTCTCCTTCCTCCTGGCAGTTGTTGGTGGTGTGTGTGTGTGTGTGTGTGTGTGTGTGTGTGGGAGGTGGGGGAGCGTGCCAAAGCCGAGATCAGGTTTGGAAATTGATTTGAATGAGTGTTGTGGACAGCTGATAGCTATAAAAGATTTTCTCCTTTCATTTCCCAGGGAGTTTCTCCTTTGATGTTGGCTCCTAGTCAACGCAGCTTTGAAGCTCGTCTGGAGCGGGCCGGGTCCGCTACTTGATACTGTGCGAGTTTTTGTTTGTCGAGTGTTAATGTGTGCGCACACATGACTTCACGTTTGACCTTTTATGAGTCCCTCTGTGGATGAATTTTCAAGGCAGCGGTGACTTTTATGATATCATAAAACCGAGAATGACGCTTTTTGATTGTGCAAAATGCCATTTAATTTGATCAGATTTGACAAATCCTGGAAAAATTACTGTAGATAACCTATTTGCATGTAAGATGATTTGATTTTCTAATCCCAAAAACAAATCTTTCAATCGCTTGTGTACATCGAGCACATCTTTACCTGCTCTAAATCTTTACATATTGGGCGCTTAACAAGCCAGCCACCTTCAAATTGCCCTTTGGGGATAAAATCTCTGAAATGTTATTTTGTCGTTTCATCGCCTGCCTCTCTGCGTTCCTTCGACCGGCCAATCACACCATCCAATCTAATCCCCCTGGGAGGGAAGATTCTAGTCTGTTGCCCAGGATGCCGGGGCGGGTCGTGAGGTCAAGTACGGCTAATTTATTCACTCAGTCAGATTTCCTCTGGCTCGTGGATGGCAGATGGAGAGGTCTGATATGATATCACCCATCGGAATCACCCAAGGGAGAATGGAGCGGGGGAGAGGCAGGGGAGGGGGGGAGATGGAGGGATGAGTGGAGAAGAGACTGACAGCAGAGATGTAAAAAGAAAGGGAGGACAGATAGTCAAAATTGGGAAATTAAAAGTGGTTAGATAGACGGATAGAAGAGAGGGTAGCATTGCCTGCAAGAGCGAGGAGTGTGTTCGCCCCACCGAGTCGAGCTGTACATCCAGCCACATAGCCTCTTATCAGATGTGTGTGTGGTTAAAATGTGTGTATGTGTGTCCTTATCTTAAGACAAGTGGTTCTGGTCCAATAAGATCCTGGGAGATGGTTGAAATAAGCGGCTTAGACCGAGATCTGAGATGCAAGGAGAGGAGGAGAGATAGCGCTAGGGAGATGAGAGGAGGAGATGACTGGGGAGAGAAGAGAAAGAGGAGGAGGGGGAGATGGCCAGATTAAGAGGATGGAGGACAAGGAGGGGACATTTGGAAAGAGATGAGACGTGGAGGGCTGTAGAGATCGGAATGGAAAGATGTGATGTGGAAACAGTTTGGGGAAGTTTTTTTAAAGAGCAGACGGGGAGAGTGGGAGAAGTTTGGGGTTTGAAATAGTTCTTGGCTTTTTGACAAAGGGCAGGGATTTACAGGATTTCATCAGCAGTGTCAACTTGAGGACAATTTCTCCCAAGAGAGTCTGAGTTTGTAGCTTTAACAACAGTGTCCGCTTAAGAGCACTCAGTCCCCAAAGGTTTGGACTTCAAGCCTCAGCTTCCAGTGGATTCTTTATTAAAAAAGATTCCACTCAGCTCCCCTACTTTCCACTAAATACAGACTGAGGGCGAGACGTTGATCTTTGTCTGTTAAAAAGGCAGCATGAGTCTTGTCTGTGAAAGTACAAATTATAAGAAAAATGAGAAGGTGAAAGTGAACAAAGGGATTAGAATTTCGACGAAGGATGTTGAATGAGTTTGGTTAACTGTGCAGAACAGGTGAAACAGCTGTTCTCGTCTCTGGCATCGCATCGACTTGTTCCGACCAGCAAGACCGCCTTGTTAGGAAAATATTCTGAGCTTGATGTTTTTCTTGCATTTGATGATTTGAACTACTTTCCAATCCAAACCAACACTAAAACGCTCTGAAACTAATCAGAAACTAATGTCTGTTTTCATATCTCCTCAGTTTGGTGACCCGAGAAGATGAGGAACCAGCTTTGATGACCAACGGATGTCCAACCTCCACGGACAAACTCTCCAAGAAGGTGGCTTTTACTGATCTTTTCCAAGGAGAACAAACCTCAACCGAGACAATTTACTGAATTCATCATCAGGACTCAAGGTGGTACAACTGGGAAGTCTGCGAAGGACTGATCATACCAAACGGAACTTACCCGGCAAGGAATGATCTGGACTGAATCCCCCACAAGAAAATTTGGTGGGAATCAGACTAATTAATTGAATCTCTACGACCTTCAAAGTAGCTGAACTGACAATACTCACTTTTCCTTCCTTAAAAAGCAAAGTGCTTTGAATCTCCTACCCAGATTCCCGCACTTCCTCAGGCCCTTTCTAAGGGTCTTGGACACAGTCAGAAGTCCTTGTGAGGAGGAATCATTGCCTCCTTTTCTTAATATTGTTGGGACATTTTCCTTAAATCCAACATGGACCTTCACAGGGCAGCGTTCAAGATGGAGACCTCCTCCTACCTGCCCAATCCCCTGGCCTCTCCAGCCCTCATGGTGCTGGCCTCCACAGCTGAAGCATCGCGGGATGCCTCCATTCCCTGCCAGCAGCCACGTCCATTTGGCGTCCCTGTCTCTGTTGAAAAAGACGTCCATTTGCCATTCAACAATGGTTCTTACACTTTTGCATCAATGTACCACCGCCAGGGCGGAGTACCACCAGGATTCCCCAACAGGGATTTTCCTCCATCCCTCCTCCACCTTCATCATCAGTTTGCCCCGCCTAACCTGGACTGCTCGCCAATTAGCATGCTGAATCACAGCGGCGTCGGAGCCTTCCGGCCTTTCGCTTCACCTCCAGATGATCGGGACGGGGTACCTGGCGGGTATCAGTCTGCTTTTACCCCAGCAAAGCGCCTCAAAGGCTGCCTTGATGCGGACGCTTCCCCCACCTGCGGTACTCCGATGCAGAGGGGAAAGAATACGACTTTGGCGGCGCCCAGATCCCTCCTGGAGGCTCGCCCAGCAGCGCCTTGAAAGCGGTGGAGGACAGTGGGAAAAAGATTTTCGCCGTGTCAGGCCTCCTGTCTGACCGAGAGACTTCCTCCAGCCCTGAGGACCGCATCGAGCGCTGTGAGTAACAATTCAAAGCTTTTCTTACCCTGCACCCAAACAGCTAGAACCATATTGAACTCACAAAGCTGAAGGCTAACAAATACTTGGTTTATGCATGGGGAAAAAAACAAGATTACACAATGGTTAAGGAAACAGGCAATGTATGGCAGTGATCAGAATATTTAACAGTCTGAATCTTAAACCATACTTCAGTATGAGTGCAATTTGTATGGGATTTTCACGATGTCACACTTTGAGAACTCACCCAACAATTTCTCAAACTGTTCAAAAAGTAAACCATCCTATTCTCAGATTATTCTACTCTTACATTGAAAACTGAAAATGAGACACATTCACAAAACTAAACTGTTAGACACCCACAGCCCAATCTAATGATGTTCCTCAAATTATAATGAAGTACAACTTGCTGCAATCTGTGAAAGAATGCAAATTTTCACACACAAGCACAACAAACGCCGATAAACAATCCCATCTACAGTCGCTCGTCGTCAACTCTCCTGGCTCTCCCAATCCGTGTTTCACAAGCCCACAAGCTCCACTAGCCACATTAGCATTCACCAGTGGAAGGATGCCATTTGGCCCTCATGCACTGGGAATCTGATTAGTGTTTATATGTGTGTGAGTCTGTGAGTGACTGGTTCAGAGACCGGCCTTGCTCTTTGCCATCAGCATTCATCATAGCTCCACGCTGGCAGCCCCGTTGCCAAAAGATTTACCCACATACCCAAACCCTTGGCAGGCCGTATGTGTGTCTAATAAAAGGGAGGTGGGAGAGGGGTTGTGAGAGCTCCAAACACAAACACACAAGCATCCATAAACACTCCTCCAGACGCACAAACAGCTCTCAGCATGAGCACCGACGTCTCCTACACATGTCAACAAGCTGCAACGGATCTCAGCGACAAATTAGGAGAGAGACAGAGACGTGCCTGTGGTGTATAATTCAATAAAAGAGGGGAACTCTTCTCTCTCTGCTTTTTTTTCTTCAGTCAGTCTTCCTTCTTAAATTAATAGTATCCCTTTTTTTTTCTTTATTTTCAATATTCATTATTTTATTCTTCCTCCGCTCCTTGTGTAAGAAGGAGAGCATATATATATATATGTGTGTGTGTGTGTATTTGAGGGATTCATCCTTGATGGAACACATGAGGGACAGAGGCGACGACCTGAGACTGATCCGATAAAAAGACCACCGCAGGAGAGACAGAGAGGGTGAGAAAGAGAAGGGATGAGGGAGGGAATTGAGAGGAGGAAATTGGGAAAATGACACCCACTGGCTGGCTGGTTGAGGAGGAATAAGAAGGAGGAGAAAGATATCAAAGAGGGCATAAAGTGAGAGAGGGAAAGAGACGAGAACAAAAACAGAATCAAAGAGTGGATTTGGACCTCGTTTGTCAGTTAGGCTTCTGATTTAAAACCTGTTTCAAATGCATTTAAAAAACACACCTTGCAGCCTTGGGCCTATCTTAAGAAAACTGTGGCTGCTGAGTGTGTCACTGCCATTCTTTCCATGTCATCACTACATACTTCTGTGAGTCCAGAAATAGAAACACCGATGGCTCCTGTGCTGTCTCATGGAACGGCTGAATCTGTATCTAATCAGGTTAAATCTTGGCACAAGTATCCTCCACCTCTACCATAGGCTTCTAATGCAATTGGATGTGCACAGGCACTGCTTACAGCAAAGAATTATGGGTTCTCCTTCACTGCTTTTGGCTATCCAGTGGAGGCGTGAAGAACAAACAACACTTTGGTACAATCCCATGAGGACAGGGGCTCTCGCAGCTTCGCACACACACACATTAGCTAACTAGCAGCCTCCGCGCAGCTTCACACATAGCACTCAGAAATCTCACAGAGAAAAAGAGTTTTCATCAGATATGCTGCTACAAAGAAATCATAGCAACGGAGGGAGTTTGAAAATGCACATGAGGAAAACAAGTCGTAAGAATGACTAGATAAAGTTGTGTTAAGGTCTTAAGTTTATCGTAAAGTTTGTTTCCATAGATGTAACTAAGGTGCTTCCATTGCAGCGTGACAGTTGATTTAAACATATTGCTTATGATCTTTGAACTGTTCCTGTAATTAAACCTCATATCTGAAGTGTAGTAATTACTGGCATGAATATGATTTATAGCTGTCATTAAAATGCTGATATCTGACTGATTATAATGTAGTGTTGGCAGATCGTGATTGCTCTCCATTCTCGAACATTCAAACTATCTCATCATAAATAAGTCCTTTACTGTCTCAGCAGCATGCCATTTGTTTGACTTAATCATGCTGGGAAACAACTACAGTACAAACAATTTGGAAAAAAGCAAAAAGTTTGAAGGCTTAATAAGCAAGAAAGTGTTGGGATCATTTTGCTGAAGCGTCAAAGCAACACATTTAATCAATATGGGCAATCATAAGAAACAGAAAAACAACATTTGGTATCTATAAATGTGCAGTATGAAAGTAAACATGTTTGAAACATTAATATAACATTTTAATACATATAACAACTCTAATTCTGGTAAGCTCACTTTTCAAAAGTCACTTAGTCACCAAGCAGAAGGCATCGTCGTCATCGTGCCGCTTCTTGAATGTTTGGAGAAACTAAATCCAAAGTTAAAGATTTTCCTCTCAGAGAAATGTACTTTTCTGTCTCGGCTACATTGGAAAAAAAGATTCAAAAAAACAGTTTTGAAAAAGCATCAAAGTGTAATTCTATCAGTATTGGCACTGCATGCAAAAGAACAACAAAATAAGATAAAAAAAATATGCAATTTCACAGGAAAAATTGCCAATTTTTGCTAAATACAAGAAAAACAACATCAGATTTATATAAGATAATAATATTCATGACCCCCTCGTCATATAACTAGCTTTTTCAGGAGCTTTCAAACAGCCTCTCAGTCACTTTGGAGATGGCAAAGTCCTCATCGGGCCACTTCTTGGATGTTTGCAGTGACTAAATCACAGCCAAAGAGATTTAAAGTTGCTTTAAGATGTGATGAACGCTTGTTCAAATTAGAAAGTTTTCAGCTTTACTTCACCTTTAAAGAAAACGTAGTGACCCTGAATTTAAATCTCTTCTTCTACACCTGCCATCAAATCGTATCCTCACATCTTGAATGTGGATGTTTTTTAGTGGAATCCTAACACAATGCGATCACCTGTCATGCTAGTTAATCCCAGCTGTGAAGATGATCCTTTCGTCTTGGCTACACACTAAAGCAAGAATAATGTTAACACAACACTCAACTTCCCTGCATGCAATTCTGTCAAACCCGCTGCACGCCACTTCAAGAAACAGTGGCCTCCTCGATGCTAAGCCAAATCCCCCCTCTGCACGGGCAGGCACGTTGGCTGTTAGCTAAACCCGCTAACCTGTCAGCCGCTAAACCTGCACATAAAGGCCCCATCATGCCTTAAGAGGACTCTGCATGTCCTATTATTCTTAAAGCTATTACCATTCACTGTATTCAGAGTGTGAGCTTTAGCACAAGAATGAATCAGAGGAGGGGGTTTGTGCATATACAGTAAAATAAAATAATTATGGGATGTGTGATTTGAATTAATGGGATTGTTGACAAATGACACAATCCCCCCCCCCCCCCGTGCACTTTGTTTGTTTTAAGGATTGTGTGCTCCTTCATCATCTTCTTTTTCTTTTTCTTTTCTTCTTCTATCCCTTTTTCGCCCTTTCCTCCTTGTCCTTGTCCGTGTGTGTGTGTGTGTGTGTGTGTGTGTGTGTGTGTGTGTGTGTGTGTGTGTCTCCACATATGAGTGTGTGACAGCTGTAGTCTGTTTGTTTACATTCTCTGCGCTCACCACATTCACAAGGCTGGGAGATGTACTCTGAACCTGACCCTGAATGTCTCACCCAGCTTCCTCATCTTTCTTCTTCCTTTCTTCTTTCTCCTTTTTTTTGTTTTCCTTTTGCTATTTTCTTCACGCACAATAACGACATCAAACACAAGAGAAAGAGACTCAAGAAGTCTACAAAGACATAAATGTATGGCTGAAGAAAAAAGAAACAGAAATTACTGGCAAGGAAAGAAAGAGAACCAAGTTGTTTTGGCAAAATGTGGAGTGGGCAAGGGACTAAAACTAGGAGGAGATAAAGAAAGGATTCAAACCAAATGGCAAGTATGTGGGGATGATGGAGAGAAGGAAAGAGGGCTGAATTGAAATTTAAATACATGTTATTTTAATGCACTTACAGAATGTTGAAAGTCTGTCAAAAAATGTCAAAATTGCAGAAATGATCATTTAAAACTTGGCTGGAGGTTTCTCCCTTCCTGTCGGTATGTAACCGTATTTTGAATCACACAGCTGTTTAAACACACAGCTGGAGGCTTCCTCTTCTGTTATTTTTTTTTGCTGTTCCCTCATTTCTTCGTTTATCTTGATCTCTTTTTATCCTTTTCCGCAGAGCAAAAGTCACCAGTGTTGTTACTTTGCGGGGACCAGTAGAAAAACATTTGTTTTTGTCTATAAGAAGACACAGGGCAGAAAAAACAAACCAGGCAGAAGGAAAGTTCTCACAAATGGACGATGGATGATAGTGATACTCATGCTGATTTATGACAAATACGTATTGCTTTAAATTTTGTTTCCATTGTTGCTGCTAAGCTGGACAGCAGGATTCAAGCACAGACCGCCTGTCAATCAAACCGAGTGGGTGGGTCTGTAACGACATCAGGCCATCGTCCTTCTTCTCCCTGCTTTGGCATATAAGGGGTTAAAAAAATCAGCCAATGAGACAGAAACGCTCATCCTTCTCTCGTCCTCACAAAAATCTGCCCTTCTTCCCCCTTTCCCTCCCCCCTTCTCTCCCTTCTTTTCCCTCTTCCATCTCTGCCTGTCACGGTCTGGTGGCAGGGTTAAGTTAAGTAAGAGTGTTCTAATAATTAGGACTGGGACTCGCCTGCCTGCCTGCGTGTGTGCGTGTGTGTGTGTGTGTGTGTGTGTGTGTGTGTGTGTTCTTCCTGTCAGTGCTTAGCCAG